AACTTCAATAACCTGGTGAAGAAAATGCAACAGACAAATACCTAGTATCACAGTAGTACAAACACATGAATATATTTCTATTAAATAAGGACACAGGGATAACTTTACTTTAGAAGTTTTATCTTAAGTGTTAACAGTTCCTCTGACTTCCTCTCTTGTCTCTCAACATCAGAACTCGTCCATATGTCAGTAAAGAATCTACTCCGTGTTCCTGACCTGAGTGGGTTTAACTGTTAACATCCATGACATCTCCGTCCACTGAAGCCCTTTATCCTCAGCACCTGTTCATCTCCTCAGCCCTGGACCAACACTTTGATCTCTGCGACAACATCTCACTGCATCGTGAAGTTTCTCCACGCACCAACCAACACCGACCAACACAGTGGTAGTCGTGTTCACTACCACTTAATTGCAGTCTACGTAGAGTGGGTTTTTTAATTGCAGTTGAGGAGCGGTGGCGTGCGTTTACCCTCAAACCTTTTTACTGTCAACTGGTTTAAGTTTAGTTCAGCCGTAGGAGAACGCGGGGAGAACGTTCCTCTCCGTGGGGTTATAGGAACCAGGTGTTGACGGTGTCAGTGAGGACGAGGACTGGACTGGAGTGCTCTGTCTGGCTCCTGTTAGAACCCACTGTGGACATCATTTTCAGGGTCACAGCATGAAAAGAGGGCACGTCTGTGGAGGAGACAGGAGGTTGTTGAAAGACGTAGGCCTTCACCCCCCCTTTGTCCCCCCGTCCATCTGAGTCCACCCTGAGTGGAGACACTGAACAGCGTCTTTGTCTCAGTTCTAGTCTCTGCAAAACAGGAAGACAACACCTAACAACTAATCATCAACTACCGAATTTTCGGGATTATAAGTCCCAACAGTGCCCTCTTGCGGCTGCCAACGTGAAAATAACAAACGTAAAATTTCAGTGGTACAGGAGTAGTACATAATGTACACAAGGCTAGAGTGCCCTCTAGTGGCGGGGTGAAAAAAAACAAATGTGAAATTATATATATTTTTCATATATATATATATATCTATTTATGATATATTTTATAGTTTTTTGTTTTTTTTTTGCGCTGATGCTAATTAATACTAATAAGTTTGGTGTCTCCCTGTAACTGGACGTGAGACCGTGCTCTCAACTGATTATGCTCAGGTTGAATACACATGGAGACATTTTTATCTGTTTGTTTTCTTGGAACTGCTGTTGTAGATTTTTATAAAAAAAAAAAAAAATTTATAAAAAAGTTTAATTTTTGACGTTTCCACGTGTCCTTCCTTCCAGGGTCTGGATCTCCTGTCCAGTAGATGTAACCCGTTAGAGGAGATCACCAATGGATACTCCAAACACAAGCCTGTCAGTACAGAGCAACTAACGTTCTGTCGTCCTTTTTTTTTTTTTTCTCTAACATTTGCGTTTTTCTCTATTAGGTCATGAATGGAGTGATTATTGGTCACGGTGTCAACGACCACACCAACGGCAGCGCCACCCTCAGATCTCTGCCGGTAATTCATTTTATCGCCTGATGTTTCCATCGAACTTTTCCTTTTCGGTTTTTCTCGCTTATTTTTAAAACGTCGTTTCGTCCAGATTTCAGCGCTGAAGCAGAATGGTCTCCTGCAGTCTCTGGCTGCCACCGGCGGAGAACAGACTAAACTCGCAGCAGGTAACGTTCAAATCCCGCTACACTCACACCACTGCTCTCTCTCTCTCTCTCCCTCCCCCTCCCTCTCTCTCCCTCTTGCGTATTCCGATCCCTCAGGAAGCCGAGTCAGAGCCGAGCCCTGACAGAAATCCATCGGTGACGTTCAGATTAACGCAGATTACGTCGGATTTTTCTTCTCTAATTGTTGCTGATTGTACATAGTCATTTCATATCCTCCCCCATTATACCAATGCCTCCCACGAGGGGGCACCAAAGCACAAGGGGAGGCATGAAACGAGGGGGAAAATTGAGGTTGTCGCGGGACAACATGTGATATAGCTAACTGACACGAAAAGGAATGGAAAAGTCGAATGACCCCACTACTGCCCCCTATTGGCCACTTATGGGCAATTTTATTAATAATTTAAGAGTATAAATATAAATGTGTTTTCTATCCCGGAAACAAGTACTCTGCCCTGGTGATACATGTCCAACCAGACACGGCTGCTGGCAGCTGTGCGGCCCTGCAGTTGGTCCACAACCCAGGTCTTTCGTTTGGGGGGAAAACAATTAAAGTATGGAAGTATGGTATTTATTTAATGCTGACCGCAGTGAGTTTGAAGTACGGAGCGTGTGCTTAAGTGTAGTCGCCGACATCGGTGAGTGCGGAATTACTAAGACGAAAATATTTTCTAAGACCTATGTTTTGCGATTGTTGTTTCAGAGGAAAACGCTGAGTTGGAAAAGGCTCGTCAGGAGTGGGAAGTTCTGGAGAACGTCCAACCAGGTCAGACCCTGCCCCCAGATTATGCTGATGTCATCTTTTGTGACATTTTAGTGACTGGACTAACTCGACACATTACCTTCCCAGCTCTCACCGAGGACTCGAACCCTTCCCCTCTCATTTCCTTTAACGAAGCGCTGCAGTACTTCCAGACCACAGACCTCGGGGACCTGCTGGTAAGAAATCGCTTTATAAGCGAAGACTAATTATAAAATGATGCTAACGTTTTTTTTAGTGGTAACGGGAAATCTTTTTTTTTTAAGGTAGAACAACTTGATTACACACCTACTTGATTACAGGAATCATCAGCCGATGATGTGTGTCGAGGCGATCGTTTGGCCGGTGTCGTGGGAGTGGGGGGTGTGACGAAGCATCACGACTCGGTCAAATGCGAGACAATGCACGTCGGTGGTGATTAAAAAAAAGAAGTAGGCTGGGCTATCGAAAAAAGTCACTGGTCATACCATGACACTACACTCCCCAGCACAGTAGGTGGCGGTATAAGCCTAAAAACATTGGTCCTGACCCACTATCAAACCCAAACGTCAGGTCCCTACATGGGCTGAGAGACGTTCAGGTGTTGAGTGGGTGGGGTTCACAGACCATGTCAGTTGATGAGGTTCACAGACCAGTTGAGTTGGTGAGGTTCACAGACCA